AAACTCCTCAAAATTCCAAACTCAAAATTTCCTTTAAAAAAAAAATTTGAAAACACATCTCTTGGTTTTATTAGTAAAAAGTCCTCAATATTTTCTATACAACACTGAACCACAATTTCTTTAATGAAATATACAAAGTATTTTTAAATATCACCTTAATTTTTTTTGATGAAAATTACAAAACCCATGATTCATTTTTTACAGTGCTCCAACTATACCAAATTTTCACATTTTTCCACAATTGTCACATTTAGGGAATATAATAAGAACATCTAAAACATTTACTCAGCTCAGTCAAGTTTTGAATATTGCAGAACAGCTTTACTGATGGAAATAAGGAGCATTTTTTGGAGGAGGCAATATAATGATTCAGTCTTACATTGAATGCAATGTTGAAATGTTGCTGTTAAATTTTAAACACCCTTCTCCAGGATCTGAAAACTTTCATGTAAAAAAAAATTAACAATAAATGTCCATATTGCACAATAGATCATCCAAAAAGAGAGATCAGGCCTGAATGCAAATAATTGGAAAAGCTCCCTCCCTGTGAGATGTGCAGGGGAGTTTGGTTCTGGCTCAATGCTCTGTCTGGCAGGATATTAACAGAAAGGCTGATTATTCAGTCTGGGCCTCTGTGCCACTACTGAAGCGCAGATACTGCCTGTTTGTTGCACACACAGCTCCTGGTCCCTGATGAGAGTTCTTTAAAATGCTGTTATGAGGGATCATTTGTGTTCAAATGCATTTCAATCAAGTCATTTTGTTGACAAACAACTGAGAGGAGAACTCCCGCAATGCTTTGAGGGAGTGAAATGGAGGTTATGAACTGTATTGGCATAACTCTGGGTTTTTATTGTTTTACTTCTTAGACATTGTGTAGTTTTTGAGAAATTAATAATAGAATTTGGCTGTAAGGATGACACAATGGACATATATTATTAAAGTGCCTAGGTTATCCATATACATAAGCATGCAGGGAGAATATGTTCTACATTATTAATTTCTTCTGTGTAAAATATCAAGAATTGGGCAAAAATCGAAATGATTTTTCACATTTTCGGTATATTTCCCCCCATCTGATTTTTTTCCTTTGCATACTGAAGGTGAATTCCCTTAGGTTTTTTTCTATTATATTTAACAACAAAAATGAGCCAAAAGTAGATTTTATGAATTTCAGATTGTATTTACATTGTCATTAGCAGCCATCACTACATTCTCTTCAGAATGAGCCACACAAAAGTTATACATTTTTTTGAGATAACAGCAAAATTATAACAGTACTAACAACAAACAGGAACTGTAGCTGCATCTTCACAACATTTTGTTGTACTGAACAAATCTTAATAAGCCACGCCACATTCTATAAAATACCTGAGAAGTTTAAAAACCTGTGGACAAAAATATGACAGCATTGATGACTTTTATGCCGAGTTCACACTGCACGATTTTCAAAGATGTCGCATCACTGTTGGTTTCACACTGAACGACTATCTGGGGTAGCATTCAGTCGTTGCTGTGTTCACACTGCACGATGGAACGATGACAGGAGGTTACACACTCCATGACTTTACAATAGGAAGAATCGCCGACAGCTCTGTCTGGTGCAGGGTTGTCAAGTTTGGCTACAAAACCCGCCCAATTACTACTCAAAACTAGCCTGAAAACAGCCCAATTGCTTTCGAGGGGTGGGGAATCGCGTTTGGGGGGTAAAATACAATTTTTTTTGGCGGGGTTCTCCTGGTACAATTCACATTCCAGGGCCTAAATATCACGTTATTGGGGTCACTTCAACCTGCTGACATAAAAAACAACCAGCGGCAATCCCGGATTTGACAACACTGGTCCGCAAACTACGTTTCATATAACTCCTCCCCGAACTTCCCGCTGCCCTGTATCTTGGTCTCTCATTGGCTGTAGGTCATCGCCGATGTGTTTTTCAGTCAGAAATAATTTCACACATCGTGATCGTGAATCGCCGACAGCTCCAGATATTTAATATGCCAAATATTTCACGGGCATCGGCGGGGCGTCGGCGACGCGTCGGCGATTCCCTCAGATCGCGTCTTTGATAATTCACACTGCGTGATTGTCCCTCTCGTGAACAAGCACCGATTTGCCTCCGATTTCGGGCATTTGATCCGATTTCGCAAAACCTGTCGGCGAGTGAAAAATCGGGCTAAACTCGTGCAGTGTGAACTCGGCATTAGGTTACTTTTGGTCAAATTTTTATCACATAGATAAATTGAATGGGATTATTGCATGGCACCCATTAAATCACACAAACAAACAAAGAGAAAGAGAAAGAAAAGAAAATATATTCCATTCTTTGTTATAAATATCATGAAACGCATTAAATATTACATACATCATGGGGGTTGATGAAAAGCTAAAAATTAATTCAATCATAAAAATGTCAAATTAAAATGAATTAGAATTTGTCAGTTGTGACCATTAACCGACAACAGAGAACTGTCAACATGGAAATATGTTGATTCATTGAAATCTCAGAAGAACTTTAGAATTTTAGGTCAAAGCTGTTTGGCTCACAAAAAAGCTTAGGAATCCTTACATTGCATGAACAAACATTAATAAACATAAAAACATGACATTACATGGTCAACAGCTTCCAGCTTCTCTAATGAATTTTTCTGAGTATGATATGAGTTGAATGACCTTTCTGAATATGAAAATGAACAAAATTGGTCAACTATCTTCAGTATTTGAAATTAATCCAGGGCTCTCAGCACCTATCCTTACTATCGGTCTGCAAAGAAACAGTGGTTTTGTTTCCATGCGTCCAGATGGTTTCTGTGGGAAGAATAAGAAGTGTGTGTTTACTAATTGAACCTCCACTCAAGACACTCATCTGCTATCTCAATGTAGCTTGTGCTGAAGTGATTCTCAACTCAACAGCTTTGACATCTTTACGGACGGGAGAAAGCATGGAGCTACAAAGAGTTACAACATCAATACACAACGAGAGACAATGGCAGCATGATGGCTACTTACAGCAAACAAGAGGGTCACATGACAAGAACAAACCAATGACTAGGACAACCAATCAGAACATGACATACACAAGGCAGAGAGACATGAGGCAAGGGAAGCATGACACTAACAGCAGGAAACAATTACAAAATAAAAGACATGGAAAACATGAACATGAAACAAAACCCAAACCCCACATTACATATCCCCCCTCTAAGGGCGGCTCCAGACGCCCAAACAAAATCCCAAAAAGTCCAGAAGGGTGGTGGAGTGGAGGCGGAACTGGGGGAGGGACGGAGGGACGGAGGGCCAGTCAACCAAAGAGGAACAGGCAGAGCGAGGGGCCATGGCGGAGCAGGCAGAGCGGGGGGCCATAGCGGAGCAGGCAGAGCGGGGAGCCATGGTGAAGCAAGCCAATCAGGGAGCCATGGTGGATCAGGCAGAACAGGCAGCCATGGCGGTGCAGGCAGAGCAGGGCGGCAGGGTGATGACGGCAGAGCAGGAAGCCATGGCGGTGTGGAGACATGGACAGACCACTTGCCTGTGACCGAACAAGCAGAGCGTTCTTGAATGGCCTCCTTGGCCGTGAAAGGACAGACAGTGAGTTCATGAACGGCCTCCATGGCCGTGACAGGGCAGTCTGTGAGTTCGTGAACGGCCTCCGTGGCCGTAACAGTGCAGATTGAGTTTGTGAACGGCCTCCGTGGCCGTGACAAAACAGTCTGTAAGTTCGTGAACGGCCTCCGTGGCCGTGACAGGGCAGGCAGTGAGTTCGGAAGTGGACGCCACTACCTCAGGAGGTTCTGCAGCAGATGCCGCCACCTCTAGAGGTTCTGCAGTGGAAGCTACCACTTCTGGAGGCACTGGATTGGATTCATGGACAGGAGAGGCTGGACAGGAGAGGCCTCAGGAGTAGAGTGTGCAGTCCACACGCTCAAAATGGCGACCGCCATTACAGTAAGGGCAGCCGAGGGCTTGACAGTTGGGCTTGAGAGCGCTGACGTCTCACCGGGATGCCTGCAGCTCTCACCGACATCAGTGGTAAATCCATCACGCTAGCTATCAGTCTTTTCAATCTTAGCCCAAGCTCAGCATCCGACTCAGGCGTGGCGGCCATCTTGGCCGGGGACTCGGGGGTAACGTGAGCAGACTCTGAAATGGCGGCCATGTCGTGACGAGACTCTGGAAGATCAGTTGAGACGTGACGAAACTCTAGAAGGGTGGCCATTTTGCGAAGAGACTCTTGTGTGGCGGCCATATTGTGAAGAATCTCCTGAGTAACCGGCATGATGTGAGCAGGCTCTGGCTTGGCAGACGTGACGTGAGCAGGCCCTGGGGTAGCAAACATGACGTTAGCAGACATGACGTGATCAGGTTTTAACATTGTGGAAATGACATGATTAAACTTTGACTTAACTGGCATGGTGTGAACATGTCCTGGAGTAGCAGACATGGCATGAGCAGGTTCTGGCTTGGCAGACAATATGTTAGCAGGCTTTGGTTTGGCAGGCATGACGTGAGCAGACCCTGGCTTGGCAGACATGACGTGAGCAGACCCTGGCTTGGCAGACGTGACGTGAACAGACTCTGGCTTGACAGACGTGACGTGAGCAGACTCTGGCTCTGGTTTAGTGCCGTGTTCTTTCTCCACGACACCCACAGTGAAAGCAGATCCACTCAACCGCAGAGCAAAGTCTATATACTCAGCAAGGGACCAGTGAACCTTTCCCCCAGGAAGCTGGGAGCAAATGGGTTCATTAAGACCCACCAGAAATATATGTCCTTAAGGGCCACATCATTAAAATCCACCTGGTGACAAAGTCCTCCACATAATCCTCTATGGCCCGGTTTCCTTAACGAAGGCAGAGGAGACGTGAAACTGCTGGGTTCATTGTGGGGGTCTTGTATTCTGTAACAAATTAGTCCACTGAAGGCGAGTTGAAGTGAGAATCCAAGTGCAGTTTATTTACAAGTGATCCAAACATCCAAACGATAATCCGAGACTTGACTTGACATGAACAGACTTGACTTTGCATTGAAACTTTAATAAGATATTCACAGTAGAATATTTGGCAAATATCTGCATTATAACCTGCAAACCTCTGAGAATAGATTCAGATGTAAGCTGATTATCATTCGTAATTTCTGCCCCAATCAGAGCACAGTACAGCACAGCTTACATTGTCCATGAGAATTTAGACCTCTATCAGCAACTCATATTAGTTCAATAATAGTGAATATAATCCTTCTGTTTTAAAATTAATTTAAACTTCTTCACAGCTTCAACAAACAAGATGAAGAGATCTGAAGCTCCCCAGCATACCAATGAAATATGCAAGCAGACATAGCCCATGCCATGCCACAGGCGCCATACATAATCTATAACCTCACACATAAACCAGTGCCCAGCCATGACTCCATCATTGCTGTCTGACGCCACGCTGGATAAGAGCTGCACTACAGCTGGCATGGGTGGCGCCTTACATTGGACTGGGCCAAGTTTCCCCTGAATAGCATTAACTAAATATCACAGTTGGCAACAAAAAAAAAATCAGAAATGGTTTAATTTGAACTGAATTGGTCACACCGGTCAGAGAGTTACATTTGAATTTCAATTGGAATGCCAGAAAAAAAAAATATTGACACAGCTACAGTAATGCATTCTGGGAAATTTAGTGTTCTATCCGGTGCTGTTATTGTTAACTAAAACTAAAACTATTTTTAAAATGTTTTAGTTAATTGAAATGAAGCTGAAATAAAATAAACTATAAGTAATGAAAAACTAAAATGAAGTAAAATAAGTTAAAGTTGAACTACTTTACTATTACTGAAACTAAGAATATAAATTAAATCTAAATAGAAGTATTAAAACTAAAAAATTATAATTATATTTTTTATAATTATTATAATTTGAAAAAATAATGCAAATTATTAATAAATGCTATGATAGTATGTTTTAAAAACTGAAATAACTGGTTCAAACTTTGTCCAAAGTTAATTTTAACAAAGCTAAATTATTAAATATGACAATATATAAAATAAATACAAATTTGTGTAGGTGGCATTTTAAACATATTTATCTATTTGTAATGCCTATTGACCTTCAATCAATCAATCAATCAACCAATCAGTAAATCAGTAAAACTTCAAAAAAGAGTTCAATCAGTAAAACTTCTAACAAGATTTGACAAGCCACTGTAAGGGAAACAGGTCAATAATTTAGCTCAAAGGGAATCATTTAAGATTTTAAAGGGAACTCCACCATTAATATGTAAGGGAATTAGGACAGAATCACTGTTTACGGCTGATCACGGAGACGGCCAGCGAGTCAGTGAACGAGCCGTATGACATCAATTCTGCAATGGATATTTATATCCAAAATATAGTGAAAACACTATTAATTAGCACATGTAACAAGATCGGCAGTTTAAGACATTAACTTGTGAGCACAAAACACAAGATACTTCTCTTTTCAATATAAATAAGGCTTTATTGGATAAATCTAAGACATATAAACTAATCTAACACACGCATTCACACACAAGTTGCAGACAAATTTTGTCTTGACAAACTCTGCATTTTTATAAAAAAATTACAGCTAAATGTATTTACTACCTTGAAATTGCAATTCTGAGTTTAAGTTCAAGTTTAATTTCAAGTGAGCTTTATTATATGTAAATGTATAGCCTGAATGCACTGTAAGTCGCTTTGGATAAAAGCGTCTGCTAAATGCATAAATTAATAAATAATATTATTATAAATGATTATAACGCCTCTATACATGGAGACATGCAAAGTAACGAAATGTCATGCCTTACAGGACCAACATATAGAGCTACATATAGACAGACACATAATCATATAAAACTAAGAAATATATAAACATAATTTACATATACCTATAGGTATGCTTTACCTATATAACCTAAACATATAACCCAAACCTATATAGCTACCCTGTTTCAAGAGTAATCTATATATATTACATGAAAAACTTTAACTTTAACTTACATGAAAAACTAAGATCTTACATCTGATCAGCCTGCTAGTCCTGTTGAAGAAACAGTGGAAAACCACAGCTCTAAACAGGCTACTTGAGAGAAGTAGTGGCATTATGCCTAGATAAACTAGCACAAGATTTCATAAAGCTTTCTGTCCTTTTTAATGATGTAATGCATGCTATAACAGAACACCGGGGTGGTTAATTGCAATTAACAACATTCTGTTGCCTTACTTTAGCAAAGATTAAGTTCACAGTTTCCACCCTTTAGAGTTGCATGTGTTGATAATGTGATCCACAGTAAAAGTTGCTGTCACGCTCTACTCGCTTTCCTATTTCATCAGCAAGCTCAGTGAATCCCTCCCACGCCAAATTCTCAAGCTAAGCTCTTCACGTCTGGCAGAGTGGCCACATCTCCAGCAAATATTTGGGAGTTTTAGCATCACTATCAAGTATAAATTGACAGGGAACCTCTTTCTTGTTATACTTGAAAACAGGATGCTGGGGAAAAAACATCATTACTCATTGCTCCTCAAGGAATAGCACATGCCTTGGTGAGAGGACACAATCACACCAGTCTATCTAGTATAATTAGGCAGCAGATTAAATTGCATGCATTGCATATATCTTGAAGCAGGGAAGTGGAGACTTAATCAAAAGCATGTTGCTTGTTCATTGCACTGTTCGCGTGTGAGGGAAGATGTGTGAGGTTTCCTGTCCCTATATGGCATGAGCAATGACCTGTCAAACCAGGAGAAAGACGCAGCAGCCGGAAAAGGATGTGGCAAAGTGAAAAATAAAACACGGAGGTGTGATACGACAGACAGAGAGGAAGGAGGACAAAATAGCTCATGGAGGAGACTCCTCCACAAATTGCATCATATTTGATATTGTGATGGAGGTTTTTAAGAGTTCTGTCCAGGGGCACTATCTGAAAGCGGACAGATGTGTTAGAAAACTCATCAGCCTGCAACATTGCTATTTCTTCTTCACACTGCAGTCAAGCAGATAATAAATAAAAAACAAAAATTACGAGTGGAAAGACGTTTCCACAAATTATAGTTGTAACTGCAATGCAAATAAAAAAAATATAATAAAATATAAAAAAACCTATGATTGTATTGTATTTTACTGTGTTCTGCTCTATATGGACATTCTATATAACTGTGCTACCTATATACATTGGTATTGATCACTTCAAGCACATGAACTGGCTGCAGTGCTGAGTGTAACGTGAGGGTGTCAATTTTTCATCTGTATTCAGCTTTAGTCTCGAGTACCATAAATAGTGCCTTCAGGCCCCACTACCTGAGTGTTCCGAGAAATCGTGTGACGCACACACTCCATCGTGCTCACACATGCACACACACCCACACTCACACACAGATGTATGATCAGTCAATAGTTGGATGAATTGTGTAAGGTAAAAGGAGGCCATCTGTTTTTGACAGAAGCATTTTTATGGTGATGATGACATTGTAGAGGTTGCCCCTCGGGAACGACATACTATTTAACACGCACAACCTTAAAATTCAGACCAAATCATTGGATCTTTATGCCTCAAAGAGAAATTAGCACAAATCTCTAATTTAAAAGGGAAAACCACACCATCTGCTATTCAGCTGCTTTGTTACTGATACAGTGCACTCTCACTGACAATATTACTGTGCCATAGACAGCTGCAATAGCAGGTTTTACCTCTAGGTTGATCTTATGTGTGTAATAGATCTCTGCAAATGAGGCATGTGTGTGTTAGCAAAGAGAGTATTTGTGTATATATCTGTTTGTGTATTCGAACCAGTCTTAATGTAGAAAAGCACGATTCACATGAATCAAGTAAATATCTGCATGCAAATTACATATATAAACTCAAACTCAATTAAGTTGAGTGATATATGTCACGTGTGAAAAATGCCCTCTGGTGGTAGCTTTTCAAACAGCCATTGGTCTGTTCTGACTGCTAGTACAGGGAGTCAATTGGAATCTCTTCCATAGCAACAGTCCTACATGGCAACAACTATCTTGAATACAAGATTTCCATGATGGTCTGTCTGCCGCCCTCTCAAGAGAGACGTCAGTTGGAGTCTTTTATCCTGAGAGGGAAACTACAAAGCTACAGCAGCAACAGAAAGCCGCTTTCTGTATTCATCACAAGTATTAACTATTTCCGAGACTTTTTCATTTCATTTATAACAAATACAGAACAGAACCATAATAAAATAAAACAGCATCAGAAATTTGAATCGACAAGTAATGTAGCCAAAGTAAAAGTATAAATAAATAAAGGGGTAAATCGGTCAGTGACATAATGAATGTCCATGATAAAAAAAAAAGAAAAAATAATACACACGTCAGATTCTTGGAAATGTAGGCCTACTCTTTTGTATTTAAGTTAGTTTCATACTGTTAAATAAATAAATACAAATTATTAATTTAAACCATTTAAGAAATAATTTCCTCATACCCTGAAAAATTTACACATTAATCAAAGAAAGGTAAAAGCTATCTAAAGGGTATTGCATAAATCTTTAATTATTATATTATATCATATCATATCATATCATATCATATTATATTATATATTAACAGCTGCACCACTTGATATTTTCCAACATTAACTAACTATCCCTTGTCATATACGTTCAAATTGTGTGATATTTTAAGAGATTTTTAAACTTCATACAGAGTCACGAGGGTCTGCAGGAATTCCCTCTATAGTATAATTTCCTTTTTTATGTTTGTTTGTTTATTTTGTTTGCATATGTTGATTCAACTATATTAATGTGTTTTTGTGTAAGGTTTTCAAAATATTGTTAAGCAGTGAATCAGTTCTGATGAAAAAAAATTTTTTTCATATTTTTGGTATAATAATAAAAGATGAATAAGTTAATAAGATTTCCTTTTCATGCATTTCATTATTTCATAACCTCTTTTCTTCGTTATAGACAGTTGTGACAACCTGAATTTTTTTTGTTAGCTTTTTGCCCATCTGAAAGGTCAAGAATGTCTTATTAAAAGACTGATATTCCCCACAAACCTTTTAATTTAAGGTGCTGGCGGTTTGTCAAACGTGGGGCTCCAGGGAGGCCGGATGAGGTCAGGGTTCTACAAAGAAATTCTTTATAGAGAAACAGGAACTCTAGTATGTGAGCGGTGTTGTATCACTTCTCTGCAGTACACTCTTGTGCTTTCATCTCTCTGACCCTGATTTCGACCGCACTCTTGAAGGTTTTGCAGGAAATAAATTACGGAATCTGAGTTGTGTGCATGTGCACTCATCCACGCTCCAGTCCACTTATACAGGGGCTAGAGTCATCAGAGCCATTACTCAAAATGTGCTGATGTTATTGCTGTGGGAATGTGTGGCACTTTAGTGTCATTGTGAGAAATTCTCAAACTGCTCTTTCTTCATGCAGCGCTGGTCCATCTCCACAGTATAGCACTTTGATTTGACTGATGTTACAAAGTGCACTCTTTTCTTTCATTTTCATCCTGTGGGAAAAGGTTCTTCTATAGTGGATCTATACGGATGACACCCCAGAACAACAGTTTGAGATCTGCACAGGGATTAGTTGGATCTGAAAGGAGGCATGGAGCTGAATGTAATAGGCTGATAGTTAACTAGGCCATTCAGAAAATATATCAACAGAATTAAAGTTTAAGGTTCAAACTACGGTCAAGTGTAGCTTTTCAATTAGATTTTATAGCCTCATTGGTGACTTTTCATGTAAAATACAACCTATTAAGTGTGTACAAATGATTTAATATATAAAAGTATTAAATATTTGTGGTCAGTGAGAGTTTTTTAAAGAAATTGATACTTTCGTTAAGCATGGATGCATTAAATGTGACCGTAAAAACTTTTACATTGTTACAAAATAAATTCTATTTCAAGTAAATGATACATGCTCTTTTGAACTTTGTATTCATCAGAGGATCCTCAAAAAAAATGTATCATGGTTTCAAAACAATATTAACCAGCACTATTTACAATGTTGATAATAATTCAAATGTTTCTTAAACACCAAATCAGCCTATTAGAATGATTTCTGAAGGATCATGTGACACTGAAGACTGGAGTGCATGCTGAAAATTCAGCTTATGCCATCAATAAATTACATTTTAAAATAAATTTAAAAGGACATTATTTTAAGTTGTAATAATATTTCACAATAGTACTGTTTTTGCTGTATGTGTAATCAAATAAACGCAGCCTTGGTGAAGAGATCTCTTTCAAAACCTACAAAAAAAATTGTACTGACCCAAAACATTTGAACAGAAAAAGAGAAAATAATGACAATTTTATTGCATCTATGTATATATGAATACATGTAGGTGAACTATTCTGTTGGACAAGGATCTATTTTCACCACCCTACAATCGAGACCAGGCTACATTTTTCCAATCTTCTATGGTCTTCTGCTACTGTAGCTCATCCACTTTAAGTTTTGCTGTGTTTAGAGATGCTCTTCTGTGCAGCACTATTGTAACATTGATATTTCAGTAAAATTTCAGAGTTCTCCCGTGGTGAACTGAATTAAAGTGTGATGATCACTGAAATCACTGTCTATTCTGTGGCTGCTCAATCATCTGTTTGAATTTGTGTGATTCAGGGAAAATGGGAGAAATGAGAGGGAATGAGAAGTCTACTTTAATGGGGCAGAGGCGTTAGTGCTTTCATTCCCTGTAGATGCCTCATTCAGAAACAAAATCAGACTAGATGATATAGCTCAAAATAGTCCCATTTGAGAAAAAACGTTATTGTGGATCTGGATAAAGGACGATGAACTTTTAACACTAGGTCTTACATCTTAAAATGCAGCTTTTTAAAAGCAAGATTTCCCCGATTTTATATTCTGAGACTGTTTACAGCTGTCAAGATGGACAGAAAAACAAGTTGGATTTTGCGTGCTGAAATCAGAGTGACAAAGATGACTCGGTTCTTTGTCACACAGACACTCGGGTTCTGAATGACATCAAATGGATAGCAGATGCTGGGAAAATCACTGTCTGGCTACT